GTCTGTGCTGCAGGGAGCTGGACACAGCCCTGCCTGCACGGGCACGCTGGTGTCCTGGCACACTGCTGTGGGGAAGGGGTCTGTGCTGCAGGGAGCTGGACACAGCCCTGCCTGCACGGGCTCGCTGGTGTCCTGGCACACCGCTGTGGGGAAGGGGTCTGTGCTGCAATCACACACAACAGCAGTTTACAGCGAGCGTTCGGGAGGCTTGACGGAAGCCGCGTTCAATCAGCCTCAGCTGTCCTGATTCGGAATCATTCCCGGCGTCATTTCCTTGCGTTAAAAAAATAAATCCGATACGTCAGGCCTCTCCTCTCCCTCACACACGTCTCCTGCCCCCCTCCTCCTGCCCTCTGCTCCTCTGCAGCTGCCCCTGGGTCTCTCCTCCCTCCACAGGGGGTCCCAGCCTGCACTGCTCTGGCCAAATTAATTTACTGTGACTTAAACACCCAATTAACATTCCCAGTTAACATTTCCAGTCAACCTCAATCTGTACAGCAGATTTACCCACAGAGTTGAGTGAGAAAGCAGAAGAGCTGAGGAATACATGTACGACAATACAATGTACGACAAAAAATCAAACATAGATAAGCAGGTTAAAAAGACTGGCAAGATGATAAAAGACGGTATTCTTCAGTCTAGGTACAGAACCCGTTCCTGAAAGTGCATCTGTGACAAAGGAGGGAACACAATTCATCTCTCTCGCCAGCTCCTGTCCTTTAAAGGTCTTCTCTAGGACCAGTGAAAACTGATTTAGTGCTCATACAGCCTTAGTGAAATAGTTAGGCGCCAGTCCATTTACTGACTTTTAATTTTAGCATTCAAATTTCAAAAAGCTATTTTGTAGGCAACTGGAAGCCAGTGTAGTGAGACCAGCGCAGAGGTTGGAGATGCAGTTTCTCTGTCCTAGTTAAAACCCCAGCAGCCGCAGTCCGGTACTCTGATCCAGAGGAAACATTCCCCTCAGCCAGGGAAAGAACGGAGCTCATTTTCACTAGATCTGAGCATAAAATCAGGACAGTAAACCTCACATTTCTTTTCCTGGAGAAATGTAGTAAGACCTCTCTCTTATCGGAGCTCCATGGCGGAAATCTCTGGAATCCCATTTCCGACATCAGCGAGAGACTAAAGACACCGGACACTGGGGCTCTCAGGACCAGCTTGGATAAATCCCACTTCCACCAGCTTCCGAATAATCTTTGCACTTTGAGAAAGAAAGGACTGCAGCAGAGCTTCTGAGCTCGTGTGGCCTTCAGCAGTGACCCGGAATATCGGGAATGACGGTCTTCTGGAAATCAGAAGGCTCTCACCCAGCGGATCACACTGCTGGGATCCAGTCTGGCCTTACCGCTGTCCTAATGCCACACAGAACTGTAAGACAGTGTAGGAACGGCGGTGCGATGTGACTATCGGCAACAGCCCATCC